GCCTTCCATTGCAGCAATTCCAGTCTGGTGCCCAACTTTTTCTTGTCAGCTTTGCAATTCGGGTACAACAATTTCTTGTGATCCTCTAACATGCGCTGCAACTTCTTCTTCTCCTTTTCACTTGCGCAGTTTCTCTTTGCATCAGCAATGGCCTGACCTGGATCATCAGCGGGCTCATCTGATGCCTCTTCTTCAGCTTCTTCTCGCATTGCCGGCTCAGCTTCTTCTCGCATTGCCGGCTCAGCTTCTTCCCCCATTGTTATATCATCGTATTCAGGGAACCCATGGCCAGGATAGCTATCGTCATTCTCTTCTTCTTCATTGTCTTCCATCATAACCCCTCTTTCTCCATGCTTGGTCCAAACATTATAGTGGGGCATGAAACCGGACTCAAACAGGTGGACGTGAATGGTTCTTGAGTTAGAGTAATTGTGATAATTCTTACAGCCAGCACATGGACAAGGCATAAAACCATCCACCCACTTGTTTGCCTGATCCGCAATCAGAAAAGTATGCACGCCATCAACGAACTGGGGAGAGCGTCGGTCATCGTACATCCATTGCCGGCTCATCTTCATTACACACCACCGAATAGACCAAATTAATACAAGTTCATACATACAGTTCATACATAAAGTTCATACAACACTTAAATGCAACATACAAATAACTCTCTAGCTAAAGCATTTAAATGCAACAACAAATGCGATCAAGATCGCAACTAAGGTAACAATTGATCCAACAACATAATGATACCAAGCCTCACTATCAATGGCATATTTTCTAATCTTTCTAATCTTCAACCGCATTTTATCCATCTTGATCTTGTGATCATCGACGACATCGGCAACATGCAACTCCAATTCCATCTTCTCCCCCTCAATTCTTTTCAATTTTTCTTTCAAATACTTGTTCTCTCTTTCAACTAAATTTAACCTCTCGCAATAGGGTCGGTTGGAATTTCCGGTTCACATACCTCCTAGATAAAAATATCTATGTCAACTTGATGGGCATGATTTGTCATAAACACGAAATGCAACAAATAGTTTTAAAAGTGAATATACCACATCCGAATCATAACACAGACGAGGCCGATGGGGACGGATATCAAAACCATGGCACTATGTATAACAAACAACATACGGGTAAGATAATTATACAAGTAACTATATATCTAAATCACACAAACATGATTTTTTATATAAAAAAGATAAGAACCGGAGGCTCACCACAAGGTGGTGCTGGCGACGGGTCGGTGCGGACGATCGACGGTGGTTACGACGGAGACGGGAAGGCACTAAGTAAACCACACCTACATATGCAAACTAAGAGTTATTTTAAGCTCAAATTGCATATAAATCAAATAAACTACCACATATAATTCCTCCCAAGTTACTAAAACCCACAAATTAATCACTATATAAAGCATTGCAAGAGCTAATCTAGCAATAAGAGATGAAAGGACAAATTTGCTAACCTTTGTGATTGCTTGAATGGATGGGGGCCTTCAAATCTTCACAAAATTTGGGAAAAATGTGTGGTGAGCTCGAGGGTAAGAGAGGAAGAATAGAGAGGAGAGGGGAAAGGGGGAAGAACAGAGCGAGCTGGACGAAGGGTTTATATGTAGGATGACCTGTAGTACCGGTTCGTGGCACGAACCGATACTAAAGGTGCTGGAGGGGCCCCAGTCTGACAACATCCTGCCACCACTCTCTTTAGTACCGGTTCGTGGCACGAACCGGTGCTAAAGGTTCGCCACGAACCGGTACTACTGAGAGCGGTCCGCCTAGCCGTTGGAACCGGCACTAATGGTCACATTAGTGCAGGCTCAAATACAAACCGAGACTAATGAGCTGCACATTAGACCCTTTTTCTACTAGTGTTCGTTCATTTCCTGATATCAAATAATTGTTTTCTTTGTCTGGCAGGGTTTGGAAAAAGTTCACCGCAGAAGCTTCGGGACTGCCGAGGGAGCCGCGATTTAAACACCCGAAAGTAAGTACTACTAGCTAGTTCCGTGCATCTCCCATAGATTCTAGCTAGTTTCATCAATACCATTTAGCATGCTTGCTTATCAGTTTGATTGACCTCTATTTCGTGTAAAGTGGTTGTGGCAGGAACCCGGGAATAATTACTGTGGATACTACATTTGCGAGTTCATCCGCCACACGACCTGTGAGTGGGGCTACTCTAAAAAAGAATATAAAGTGCGTAAGCAATAATATTCACAATTTTATTTTATTACCATCATTTGTGTTGAGTTTCATTCATATATATGTATTGACCCCCTTCTTCAAATTAGATATTTCAGATGCGGGATTAACTCCTACCACAATATCGCATACGAGCAATTCAAGAAGAATTGGCGTGATTCTTTCTTGACAACGTCATCGATAAAGACGGAGAATACCATGTGGAACTTGAGTTCAGATGTTAGGGGACTGTAAGAGATCTTATATTGTATATATGTAGCCAGTAGCATCGGATAGATATACGAAAACTTGTTGTTTGACCAATCTCTCGGAGAAGGAGAGGTCGATCACTTCTCTCTATATATGTTCATGACGATCTTCTGTACTTAATGGTTTCCTTCATTTGCATATGAGCTAGCTAGCGTGTCGAATCCTCTCTATACGTATAGTACGTAGCGTCGACCAAGCACGGAGATAAGAGAGGACACTTCTCTCTATTAGCTAGCTAACACAACATATGAAACCCCTAAATTAACCCTACAAAACCCCCA